GGTATTTTATCCTTCTATAGGTATTGACAATAAGATGACTGATAAATTGGTCGCATACAAATTATTAGGATCTATAAGCAGCTATGAATTATATATTAGCTCTACTTTTGATGTCTGTCAAAAATATGCACCCCCCTTTCAATCATCTTCAGATGGTCATTTCAAAGCTGGAGATAATTCATTACAATGTATGAAAATGAATTGTCTAGAAGAAAGTAAAATAACAAAAAAATACCGAACTCGAAGGAAGTTTAGTATTAAGTTTGTTATTCTTTATACTTGTCCATCATTTCATGTTATGTTAAAATATAAAACCTGAAAGAAATTTCAAGATGACATAAGTTATGTATATACATATATATTCCAGCCTGGATTGGTGGAGGAAGTAAAGAATCAGATCTACTCCAACATTGTTAGGTTGATTTTCTAGGCTCTTTACATATATATATATATAGATGTATTTTCAATTAAAAATAAAAGTGACACCCTAAACATTCAAACTTCATCTGTGTTTTGTGGTAATAAGCATTGTGTATAAGTTCCATAACATTTGGTTGAGGCAAACTAAAGTTAGAGAACGGAAACGAAAAATTCTGCAATTTTTCCATTCGTAAAGGGGCATGACTCAAGAACAGCTAAGGTGACGCCTCCAAAATTCAAACATAATGTGTGTTTTGTGGTAATAAGCATTGTGTATAATTTTCATAAGATTTGGTTGAGGCAAACTAAAGTTAGAGAACAGAAACCAACTTTGGGACGTACGTACGTACGGACGGACAAGGGTAAAACTTAATGCCCCCTCTGCTACAGCAGGGGCATAAAAATAAAGAATGATGGAATCTTACATGTACCATCAAGCTTTAAGTAACTTATGCTATACAATGATGTCATGAAATGTAATTGGATATTCTGACATTTATCATGCTTTATCCTAAAATAAGGTCAAATTCCTGTAAGAACCTTTTCTAAATTATTTTGTATTAATCATAATATCATAGTGTAAATTAGATATACCCCTTAGTAATATGGCCCTCAAGGGTATATCTTATACAAATGACAAAGGTGACACATATTAGAGAATGAGTCTGGAAATTCCTTTATAAATCAATATTTTATCATAAAAATCAGACAGATATACCAAAGTCATCACTGGCATTTATCTTATCTGTTCTGTTTCACCTATTTGGATCAAAGAAACAAATATTGATTGCATGTGCTGCAGGTAAAATTAATGAGGATTACTAAGGACTGTGTCATTACCTGTAAATAACATCAATCTCTTAGGAATGTCTAATGTTCTTCAAGGGAGGAGGCATCAATACTGCCATTAGAATCCAATCTATTGAAATGCATCAAACTTAAATTATGATTGGTTCATCATAAAATGTTTGAAATCCAAATTTATATACATAATTACATGCTTAGGGTCCTGGGGCAACCATACTTGAGTTGAATTTTGTCTCATACAATTAATTTGTGTATTAAGTTTTAAAAACTAAAATGACACACCAAAGAGTAAAATCTCGACAACTGTTCCAGTACAGTTAAAGGATTTAAATGTTGCTTAGTTTCAATGTCTACAAAATAACTTGTTTTTATTTTTGTAGGAAATACAAGTGCATGCACTTTTATGCTCATATTGTTAGATTTTTAAAAATGATTAATTTTTATTTTTGAAATAACCAAAATATTAGTATAAACTTTTTTTTTTTAATATTTACTCAGAGAAACCTTTTTTTTTCAAACCTATAATACAATACAAAGTTGAAATGTATATACCTCCACAATATTTGTATGGTGACACTGGTCCTGAAGTTGGTTTACTGTGCCGTGGCCTGGGAGACAAACTAGCACTTCTGGAATGTGCAGCATCCTTTGAAGAACGCTTAGGAGATGATTTTTTCTGCTTTAATGTTTTAGACTTTTTGAATAGAGTTGGAATTTTACTTTTCTCAGGAGACTTTTTAGATCGGTCATATTCCTCCATAGTTTTGTTCTTTGATATTCAGGTGAATGATTGTTTCCAGGTGTACACAGCCGATAACTTCCACATGATCACATCATTCTTTTACTTTATAAAATACATCACTTTATTCAATTATTAATGACTAGAATAAACACCACATTAAGGTTATATTGATTTTGAAAATCAATCTGACAGTGCTTTTAACACAAATACAGTAATAATTCTATCCTAATCATTAACAAAAATCATCAAGTTTTTTTATTACTATACATGTTAAAAATCCAATTCACTCCAATAATTCCATCATCATAAATCCTTTTAATTTAATTCCATCATCACAAATCCTTATAATTTTTCTATTCCAGTAAGTCAAGAATTATGTTTTAAGACAGAAAACGTCTGTCAATAATTTAAACAATAAATATTTTATGAATCTCCAATTTTAATCATCAATTGACTTTACTGCAGGATTGTTACTAATATGATAATGCATAGCTCCAGACACAATTTACCAAATGACTATAGTCTTCAATTCTATCAAGACACACATAATGTTTACCTGATAATGAATGTTTTTTTCTGTAAATATATGAAAAACACAAAATTCAAATTAAATCGTATGAGTGCAAGCAGTTCTCCTTTTTTGGCATATATATAGGCCTGCTTGGCTAATGTTAACATAAATCCATGGTTTAAGGATCATGTAATCCTTTGAATGTAAGGAGAGATGTTGATTATCCACCTTATATCAGAATAAAATGCATTAAAAAAACTCCCCATCAATAAAAGTCATTGCTTCACTGGCAATGCTAGGTGTTTTCCAATTATATCTAAATATAGCACACAACATATTAGAGAATGCTTACCTTCTCAGCATTCAATTTTAAAAAAAATGAAACACATCTATTTATCAACACACACATATGCAAAAATCTATAACTGAATAATTACATATTTGTTTGCAACAAGTTAATGGAAATGCATGAGTAATATACCAAAAATAATACTGTAGTGCTCTCATAGACGTAACTAAGGAATCATATTTACCGAGGCTGGGATTCAGTAGGTGTCTAGAAGGCAAAGTTTCCCAAAGCAGAAATATGGTGTATAGTTTTGAGCTAGTTATAAAGAATGTACAAGTACCTAATTCCTCATTGATCAACATTGTAAAGACTAGTGATATAAAACTGTTTAGAATATTTAGTTCTGAGTAGACTAGAACCTACAAGGAAAAAGTAAAATAACAAAAATACCAAACTCCAAGGAAAATTCAAATTGGAAAGTCCCTTATCAAATGGAAAAATCAAAAGCTCAAACACATCAAACAAATGGAAAACAATTTTCATATTCTTGACTTGGTACAGGCATTTCCTTATGTAGAAAATGGTGGATTAAACCTGGTTTTATAGCTAGCGAAACCTCTCACTTGTTCATTTACTATGAGAAACACATGAAATAACAGGATCTTTAACCTTTTCAGAAAACTGTAACATTTATCTGCCTTTTTGTCGCAAAAGTGAGACATAGCGATCCTGCATTCCGTCGGCTTTGTCGTCGGCGGCAGCGTCCACAAATATTCACTCTGTGGTTAAAGTTTTTCAAATTTTAATAACTTTCTTAAACTATCCTGCATTTCAACCAAACTTGGACAAAAGCTTGTTTATGATCATAAGATAGTATCCAGAAGTAAATTTTGTAAAAAAAACCCTATTTATCCGTATTTTACTCATAAATGGACTTAAGTTTTTCTGCCAGTTAACATTACATACACTCTGTGGTTAAAGTTTTAAAATTTTTAATAACTTTCTTAAACTATCCTGGATTTGTACCAAACTTGGACAGAAGCTTGTTTATGATCAAAAGCTAGTATCTAGAAGGAAATTTTGCAAAAATTTATTTCCTGTTTTTTCGTATATTACTTATAAATGGACTAAGTTTTATTCCAGTTAACATTACGTACAGTCTGCAGTTAAAGTTTTTAAAACATTTATTAGATTCATAAACCTTCTTGGATTTTTACCAAACTTGAACAGAACTTCTTACAATCAAAAGATAGTATCTAGAGGAAAATTATTAATAATTTTTTCCCCATTTTTGTTGAGCCTGCGACTAACAGCAAAAGTAGGCGAGACACCGGGTTCCGTAGAACACTTACGAATTTTTATATTGTCAACCACATAATTACATTATAACCCTGAATCATTACATTTAGGGCATGAGTGACAAAAAAACAGTACATATCAAAAGATATACTATTCAGAGAGCTATGATTTAGGACTTGCTGCTCAGTAATAATCATCTGGTATTTTTTGGCACTAATCTTATAGTTTGAGTCAAGTAGAAAATGTTTTTTTCAGGATTTTCCTTTTTTTTTTTGGCATTTGAAATTCTGCTCACACCTATTATGAATATTGCATAGATTTTTTTCAGTATATATATATATATATATATATAATCAGAAGATTTATCATTTATAAAGTAACAAATTTATCCAACTGTTTAAAAACAAGGGTGCACACGCTGAAATGTCTCGCCTTCTTTACTAATCATTGATATTATGTTGATAGCCCTAAATATAAAGCTTTATTACAACTGTCACATAAACTTAACATTAACCAAGTAAACTAAACATTGACCAATGAACCATGAAAATGAGGTCAAGGTCAGATGAACCATGCTAGGCAGGCATGTACAGCTAACAATTCTTCCATACAACAAATATAGTTGACTTGAAAATGAGGTCAAGGTCAAATAAAACCTGCGTGACTGACATATAGATCATAAAATATTTCCATACACCAAATATAGTTGAACTATTGCATATAGTATCAGAAAAAAAGACCAAAACTCAAAAACTTAACTTTGACCACTGATTCATGAAAATGAGGTCAAGGTAAGATGACACCTGCCAGCTAAACATGTACACCTTACAATCATTCCATACACCAAATATAGTAGACCTATTGCATGCAGTATTAGAAAAAAAGACCAAAACTCAAAAACTTAACTTTGACCACTGAACCATGAAAATGAGGTCAAGGTCAGATGACACCTGCCAGCTAGACATGTACACCTTACAATCATTCCATACACCAAATATAGTAGACCTATTGCATACAGTATAAGAAAAACAGACCAAAACACAAAAACTTAACTATAACCACTGAACCATGAAAATGAGGTCAAGGTCAGATGACACCTGCCAGCTAGACATGTACACCTTACAATCATTCCTTACACCAAATATAGTAGACATAATGCATACAGTATAAGAAAAACAGACCAAAACACAAAAACTTAACTATAACCACTGAACCATGAAAATGAGGTCAAGGTCAGATGACACCTGCCAGTTGGACATGTACACCTTACAGTCCTTCCATACACCGAATATACTAGACCTATTGCTTATAGTATCTGAGATATGGACTTGACCACGAAAATTTAACCTTGTTCATTGATCCATGAAATGAGGTCGAGGTCAAGTGAAAACTGTCTGACGGGCATGAGAACCTTGCAAGGTACGCACATACCAAATATAGTTATCCTATTACTTATAATAAGAGAGAATTTAACATTACAAAAAATCTTAACTTTTTTTTCAAGTAGTCACTGAACCATGAAAATGAGGTCAAGGACATTGGACATGTGACTGACGGAAACTTCGTAACAATAGGCATCCATATACAAAGTATGAAGCATCCAGATCTTCCACCCTCTAAAATATTAAGCTTTTAAGAAGTTAGCTAACGCCGCCGCCACCGCCGTAGCCGCCGGATCACTATCTCTATGTCGAGCTTTCTGCGACAAAAGTCGCAGGCTCGACAAAAAAACTGTTGTCTAATCGTTGCATCTGGCATTTTTGTACTTATATCTATTTGCTTCTTTATTGTTTGAAACAAGACAAAATATTTCACTGAAATTCTGCATAAATTTCACAAGACCATGTCTTCCAGCACTGTTCATGGTGTTCTATATGAAATCTGATAACTGAAGAATAGCTGCAAGCTGTTTTAAAATATTCAAAAGTAGGAAGGTATGATTTCCATTTCAAAGGTTTAGTATTTTGAGCTTGCTTTAAGTAACAAGCAGTTTTCTCTAATTTCTTTAATATCATCTTTCACTTATTCACTTGTGATGTAAAACCTGGATCATGAATGTTCAGACCACTGAGTTGACTTCAATATTTATAATGGCTTATGTAAAAAGACAACAAATGGCAGAAGGTGGATGCCTTGTGATAACAATAGATCACATCGGCCCTTTATGAATTTGGATTTACACAGGAACTGCATATGCAAATGTATTTACTTAACATTTAGTTGCTGGTCTACCCTTTTTTATATATGGGCAAATTAAATGTCAAAGTTGGAAGTAGATGATTAAAATGGTGTCTTACACTTTTAGAAAGTTATTTAGACATCATAAAACTCTAGTTTTATCATAATAATAAATGAAGAATGTGTCCATGGGACACAGATGATGCCCCGCTTGCATATCATATAAAGTTAATTCAAACTTGATCTGTGTTTTGTGGTAATAAGCATTGTGTATAAGTTTCATAACATTTGGTTGAGGCAAACTAAAGTTAGAGAACGGAAGCCAACTTCGGTATGTACGGACGGACAAGGGTAAAACTTAATGCCCCCTCCGCTACGGCAGGGGCATAAAAATAAGGAGATGAGGTATGATTGCCAATGAGACAACTACCCACCAAAGTTCAAATGAAGTGGATTTAAGCAATTATAGGCTTACCCATACAATATAGTCAGCTATAAAAGGCCCCAACATGAAAAATATGAAACAATTCAATTGAGAAAACTAACGGCCTAATTCATAACAAAACAATTTACGAAAAACAAATATGACAGACATGAACCAACTACAACCACTGAACTACAGGCTCCTGACTTGGAACAGGCACATAAAGAATGTGGCGGGGTTAAACATGTTTGTGAGCGCTCAACCTTGCCCCTAACCTGGGACAGTGGTGTTACAGCACAACATAAGAACAAACTATAAAATTCAGTTGAAAAAGGCTTAACTAATCAAATCGATACAAAGAAGAAAACATAAAACATGAACACAGACCTAACGTGGCAGGGTATTTATCCATCCCTCATCCCTAACAACTAAAAGGACACTAAGTACAGATCTGAGAGTACTCACAGCTACTGACAGCAAGTTCAAAGTCAATAACAACTAATAAAATAATCATGTATCTAAGACTAAAATATAAGCCTACAGTTAAGAATTCGACATCATCTAAAAATCATGAGTTGTGACACAGACACAGACACAGATTACCTGGATCAACAAGTTGAACTGTTGGAACAATCAAGGACCATAACTCCTGAGCAGCAAATGTGAAATTTTTAAGCTCAGTTTTGTCCTCAGTAACATCATCTTAAAGTTTGAAAAACATTGGTTGAATATTCATAAGTTTACTGCACAGAAACAGTTGGAGTGGTCGCCCACCTTGACCTTGCAGACAGGCATTTCAAACCAACTTGTAACATTTCCTCGTGCCATGGCTCCAATAATACCAAAAACTATTTTTAGACTTTAAGAAATCATAAGCAAGACAGGATTCGCCAACAGACAAGATTGTAGGTTGAACAGGTTGACCAAGAGAAAGACTGATGAACAAATGGTTGAACAATTATTAGATATTATGTATATTTTATTGCTCTAGCAACATTTTCCCCATGCAAAACAACCTGACATGAGTGATTTACTTCATAATATTAGTAGACAAATTCACTTATCTGATTTGCTTTGTTTGTACATAACTAATATTTATACAGGAAATACACAAAAACGCTAAGAAAAATATCCCAATACAAATATTTAATCATGCATTCTAGTGCCAGTATTTAACATTATCCAAATCACCTGCACATCATTAGGAAAAGTTGAGTTTCAAAGCTGATCTGAACAGCATGCCAACTTTTTAATGCAGAACTCTTTAAAATATATATCAGTTTGGGATAAATTTTCAATTTGTTTGAAACTATAACAGTGACTCCTGATGTATTTGGTAACCTAATGTAAAACCTCATTTATGATACCAAGATTGTAATTTGGAATGCCAGACGAGCATTTCTTCTACATAAGATTCATCAGTAGCCCTTCAATCAAAACAGGTAAAAAGTTGAAGAGCATAATTCTATTTTTAGCCATGTTGGCCATCTTGGTTAGCAGGCGGGTTCATCGGACACATTTTTTAAACTAAATACTCCAATGATGATTGTGGCCAAGTTTGGTTAAATTTGGCCGAGTAGTTTCAGAGGAGAAGATTTTTGTAAACGTTAACGACAACCAGGTGAGATAAAAATACAATCTGAGGGATTTCAAGGACCACAACTCTGGAACCATAAAAAGAAATAAGGTCACAGTCTTACATGATCAGGTTGCAATATTTGTGACTAAATTTTGCTGAAAAATGATCATGTTCCGAAGTCTGGAAAAATGAGAAAAAATCCCTCAAATAATTCCATAAAAGCAGGTGCACAACTTCAACATATATGTCCAAACTTTTTATTAAGTTTCAGGGAACTGGCTTTAAAACTGTAGGAGAGGTTGACTACACAAAATTGTACCCTCTTTCATAAACTTCGGTGAAAAAATGACTAAGTGTCAAAGTCTGGAAAAATGGGAAAAAATTCCTCAAAAAATTCCATAATAGCAATCTTCTTTTGAAATTTCAGGGATCTGGGTTGAAAACTATACATAGGAGAAGTTGATTACACAAATTAGGTACCCATTTTTCCCAGACCCAGCCTGCCAATCCATCTACCCGCCAACATCACCATTCTTTAAGCAGGTTTTGGACCTCATTCCACCTAGCCGAAAATCACAGAAAATCACATATAATTATTAAGCAGCCACAACAACTCAAGGTAATTTTAACTCATTATGATTGACGGGTGTTCTCTATTAACAATCTGGAAATCATCAAACTAAAACTTGGTAAATCAAAGGCAAATAATTAATAATTTTGAAATGATGTAATTTAAATCAGCAACATTGAAGATAATCCTCATAACATCCAATAAAATGTAGATCTATTTGGGTCTGTGTTTCTCCATTTATTTTACAGAAGCAATCGAAAGTGAAATAAAATAAACTTAAACTCAACCTGTAGTTTCATGTAACCCCACTTTTTACTCAGAAACATGAGGTTCCCAGGAGCCTGTATTGCTCACCTGGCATTTTTTCCAAAAATAATTTGATGCAATGCAGCAAGATTATGAGTGTTAAATTGAAACTATGAAAACCAAAATCAGTCTTGCTCATCATTTTGGCTGGCCTAAGTTTCTGTATAAGCAGAAATTGAAAATGAAATGGGCTAAAATTTTTGCCTTTTACAGTTTTTCTTTATCATTGATTTTGCCAAAACATAAAAATAGAAAAAAAATTGTCTTTCAAGGGCAATAACTCCTATGAGGGGTCAGTCCACTATTTCTGTCATGTTGAATGCATGATGTGTAGATCTTATTTTGATTATCATTTTTTTCAATTAGAGGATTCTCTCTATCTGCTATATTTTCTTTAAAACATGTGTAAAATCATTGTTTAAGTAAACTCCTATAAGGTGTCCATTGATGACTTTAGTCATTTTGACTTGATAAATAGATAATCTGGTTGTCTGCATACTAATGTTTAGCACAATTAGATATAAAAATAAGTTGACATGGCTGAAATCATCAATTGACCAGACACAAGATGATGCCTTTTTTAACTCGTTCGCTGCACTCACTCCACAAAAAGCTTCATATTGTGACTTGCAGCTGTCAGATATTTTACAATATTAATATGCAGACAACCTTATAATCAGTACTTCTTTCAGTGCAATAACCCCTGTAAGCAGTCAATTGATGATTTCAGCCATTTCAACTTATTTGTATATCTAATGGTGCTAAACATTAGTGAAAATTTCTATATCTTGACCTGCTGAACAATTTATCCTTGACAATTTTGCTCTTAATGCTTTAGTTTTTTAGAAATAAGGCAAAATCTGCAGCTCACCACCATGTTCTATTTTTGGAAGCAGTGGCCATGTTTGTTAATGGATCAAATCCCATCTCAAATTTTTAAAACACATTCAAGGTGATGGCTATAGATCACATGGCTAGATTGGGATGGTGATTAAAATAATGAAAAAAAACTTTGATTATAGAAACTAGGAGGATTGTGTAAATAATTTCAAAACAAGGTCTAAAGTTATTAACTTCTTACATTCAACTA